GGTCGAGGTGGAGATTGGGATTGACGTGTTCAGGCATTGCGCCCTGAGGGCGACAAGGGCAGTTCTGCCTGGAAGCAAGCGCTTGGATGGTACTCGGCATGCTCTCGCTTTAGAACCCAAGACTGAGTCAATCCTCAAAACGTGAATGCCGCACGTCCCTTGAACGACCCCAAAAGTACAGTGTCCTCATAATGTGTTTTGGGATGTCACTACCAAGCCTAAATGAGCTACTGTCTAAACTTCAGGTATCCCCCTTAGGAACCCCTAGAACACTCCCCTATAATCCCCTATATAGCCCCCTTTAAGGAGTTTGGACTATGGTACAAATCCTAACCCCTGTGTCATGGCCATGTCACTACTAGTCTCATGGACTTGCACATGGTGCGAAACACAGCAGGGCACGGACCTCACCTCACTCTCCCCCAAACTCACATGGAACCTCCAGAAAGGTCCTCCAGAGACTAGTCCCTGTCTTACTATTACTACATGTTTGCTATCAGTGCTGATGCATAATATCACAATTATTACGATGTGTTTGCCGTTACTGTTTCTAGAACCATGATTACGACTGTTAAAAAGGGATTCAAGGGCTAGCGCCCTGTAAATCTGCTCTAGAGGGCAACATGAAACATATACAAGTTCCGCACCCAACACCCAAACATGATTCATGGTTAGGGTTTGGGGGCTTAGGGCTCAGGATGTTAGAGTTCAGGGTTGTAGGGCTTCGTCTTCAAGCCGAAATTAATCAAGGAAGCAACACGACTGGAAGTATTCTTAAGCCCATAGCACCTGACCGAAAGAGAAGTTTGCACAAACATGAAACAAGGGCTTCTTGCAATGAATACCCACTGAACTGGGATGCTGTTAAGGAACTTAAACTAAGCTACCATGATATGGGTGTATAGTACAGAATAGGGTTTTCGTATTAAGTAAACAAACCACTATGTTCATTGAGGTCAGGTTTGGCGCCCGAACTCTCAAGCCCGTTTGAATGCTAGCCAAAGTCTGTAGACGTCGTTCGAAAAAAAAAAAAACTCAAGCCCATGAAGCTTTTAGCGGTCCAGAAGCGGATCGAACCTGTCAAACAAATGCCTCCCAAGCCTGGTCGACTGTGCAATCTGTCTACTCAACACTTTCGGGGTATTGCTTACTTCTATGTCCCTAAACCCTAAACCCTAAACCTAAGGATATCCTGACTTCCATAGTCTTGAAATGATGACAGGGTCCACTGAGCAAAGAACAACTAATAGTGGGGACTCTAAGTGGAGTATAAGGCCCCCTTATCCTAGAACGAACGTTCATTGCTAGGGAATGGAGGAATGGATCCCCTATGGTAGCTCCTATGTAACCCCAACTGGCATAATAAGATCCATTTGATTGTTCAATTCCTTCATGTCCTACTAACTAACATCACCTGTGTCCTAAACCGGAGCCTATTTATCCCTATCCATCCGCACTTTCCTTTTCATGCTCCGATATCAACCCGACTCCATGTCCGTTTATCCCAAAAACCAGCTAGAGCGTAACCCTAAACCCTCAACCCTACCCTAAAACTTGAAACCAAACCTCTCAACCCTAGATCCTAAACCGTAAAACTTGAAACCTACACCCTCAACCCTAAACCCTAAAACTTGACACCTAAACCCTCAACCCTCAACCCTGAACCCTAAAACTTGAAACCAAAACTCTCAACCCTAAACCCTAAACCCTAAACCCTAAAACTTGAAACCTAAACCTTCAACCCTAAACCCTCAACCCCAAACCCTAAATCCTAAATCCTAAACCCTAAACCTGCCTCGGACTTCGCTCCGGAAACGAGGTCTTCGTCCGCGGGGCCAGGGGGGAGGTCACGGAGCGAGAGAGGTCGACCTGCCAGGATCTTGGGTTTAGGGTTCTAGGGATTAGGGTTTAGGGTCTAGGGTTGAATTGTGTGGAGTTTAGGGTTACTAGGATTTCTAGGCTTTGGGTTTAGGGTTTTGGGGTTTGGGGTTAGAATTCTCAGAATCAAGGGCTTAGGCGTTAGTGCCATGGTGAGGGTTACTGGGCTTTTGGGCCAGATAATGACTATCAGGATGATCGTCCTAATTCTTCAAGCCTCTGCAGTAAGGACTTGGAATTTTGAGAAAAATCTGACATGCAGAGCTCCCAAGGCAGTGAGTTACGAGGCATGCCTCAAAAGAGCACAAAAAAGCTCAGAAGATCTGCCTAGGTACCATGTTGATCATCCTTTTTCCGATTCCGTTCAAAATCACATCTTGCCTCCTCTTATTGTGATTCTTCTGGCTTCAGCCGTCACGTGGCTTAAGACTTTGATATCTCGAGCTTGGCTCAAGGGTCGTCTTCCATGGGAACCTAGTAAGTAGGTTCATAACCCCAATAGCCCATATGATAACCCCAATTATCCCCATCATTAACCTACTTTCGAAATCCCCATTACAAAAGCCTCAGCTCAGCCATTTGCATCCCACAACCAGCCTGAAAAGCCCTTAACCCCGGCCATGCGCACATGCCCGTTCCAAAGAAAGGTAGGGCCCTTATTAACCCCCAACGGCAACCTCCTAACAAAAGTTACCAGGAACGCCTAGAAAACTCTAAAACTTAATCCCCAAACCGTCATCCCTCAGCATTTCTTCCCAAGCCCTGAACCCCGGATAGTACTATGTCCAAGGCCAGATATCCCCGAAGTTACGAAAACTCCCCACTGTCCCAGATATTCGCCAAACCCCAACCTGACTTCCTAACATACCTTGCAAAATACATCCCTACCAGGGACACCTGGAATTCCGGTATGAGCTCCATCTAAGAACCGCTGCAGCTTCCATTTTAAAAGGCCACATCCCTTAGTGCAAAACCCTAGATCCTAAACGCAAGATCCCAGAGCCTGAGCTCTCCAGTCTCCAAATTTCAACCCTGAAGCCCAAACCCAACCTAAACCCTAAACCCCTCAATGTTAAGAAGCGCCAGGTATTCCCAATGCCTTGGGTACTCCTTCCCATCCACTTACAGTGATTAACAGGGATCATCCTTACTGGTTCTCAGTTGCGAGTAAGGGAATACAGTATATCATACGGGATTACATTGGGGTTATATTCCCTTATTCCCCACTAAGAACCAGTAAGGTTAGTGGTTGGAGGCAGCTTCTAACCTGTAACCTCCAATACACGACCCTGAGGTCCATAGCAAGCTAGGGTTTAAGGTTTAGGGATTATCCCTAAATCCCAAGCCTCCAGACATCTCCCAAAACAGGACCCGATCGTGCATCTAGGCCGGGCATTTTGAAGCCCAAACCCCTGGACCCCACATGTTACCTGCATCCTAGGTATACCCTAATTACATATCCGCATACCTGTTTAACAAATGCACACAGCTGTATTGTACGCCTATATACCTGTGTATATGCCTAGGGCATGTAAGAGATCCATGTCCCTCAAAAGAAATCCATCCCTAAACCCTAATCCCTGATCTCGAACCCCTAACCTTTAGCCCTAAACCCTAACTGCAAACCCCTAAACCCTAATCGCCAAGCCCGAGATATTCACAAAGGTCCCAAAATGTTAGGCCCCAAAGCCCCTCTACATCCCCAATGAACCCCATTGACCACTTCATGGTCCAGGTGTTTCTTCGAAACGCCAAAGTTTGCTTCTGGGATCATTCCAGGTTTTCTATGACAAAAAACCCTGAATCCTATTGGTTTACTTCCCCAATAATGGAGAATAATCAAGTGGACAAGAAAGTGGAAAATGAAATGGAAACTGGGTATATGTAGGAGGTCATAGGGATTCGGATGTCCAAAATTGGGGGTTAGCAAGATCTTGATATTGGCGACTACCAGCATCTATTTCAAGTTCCGCTTCATTTTTTCCAGTCCATGTCCATGATACCCTGAACCCTAAGCCCTCAAACTACAGCCTAAACTTTGAACACAAAAACCCGAACCCATAAAACTCTAAGCCCTGAAAGCTCCAAACCCTTGACTCCCTTAAGCCCAGGGTAAGTCCAAACTGCAGGGGACCAAAAGCAACCACAAGCTTAAGGAAAACTAGGCTGAAAGTCGCCCAAAACCCGCCCAAAGTCCCGGATATTAGGACCCCTACACAATTTCTGCCCACTCTAAACCCTAAACCCTAAAGCCTACAATCCCCGGATAAAAACCCGACCAGAGCCGTCAAAGGGCCTCAGACGCGCTCCGCGTGAGGCCGTCCGGCGGAAGCTTCCTGGGCTTAGGCTTCAGGGCCTTTTCGAGCTTCATATCTCCGGGTTTCCTAAAATTGGGGGGGTACCACGTAAGCAACATAGGGAGCTTAGGCATTTTCGGGATGAGGGTTTAGGATGTAAGGTCTTAGGCTTTAGCGATAATAGGCATTCATGACGAAAGGGCTTTGGGGTTAAGGGTTTAGTGAAAATTGAAGAACAACATGGGAAAGAAGAAGGACAATGAAGTGGACGTTGGGGCTACGTAGGGGATATATGCGGAGCTTAGGGGCTACAGGCATTATGTGGTCTGATATGGTTTATAGCTCCTGGGGTGCTAAGAGCTTTGGGGGGTTTAGGGGTTTAGGCTTAGGCGTCTAAACCTTGGGGCTTCAGGATTTACATAAGGGATTTGAATTCTAGGGCTGCAGGGTTTAGGAAAACTGGCTGGGTAGGTTGGGAGTTTGGGGCGAAGGGGTCTTCAGGTGGAGGTTTTGGGTAGCTAGGGAAAGAACCTAGAACGTTAAAAAAAGGACACACAATGCTACAACACCTCGAAGCAGCTACGGGAAGCCCACTAAGACTAAGAATCAAGTCAGCTTAGCTCATGAACCAGAAGATTCCCAGCTAGAGACCCTGCAAAAGCTCCCCAAGCCAATCAAATCCAGAACTGCTATTCAAGGCACAAACATCCCAGATCCGTGAGTCACAATATCAAGAACGGGCTGTGCCGGCAGAAGCCAATATAACGAGATAGGCTACGCAAAGAAGCTGAAGCAGAATGTTTTGATCAAACACGGCCACGGGACCAGCCACGGAACGAGGTCTCCCGTCCGCACTGTACACATCGAGGACCATTCGCAGGCGGCACGACATAACCTTGGTGGCACAACCGGCCTTGACCTACCTACGTGCTTCTACCACGGATGCGAATGTGCAAACATGCACAGGTTCTTGCTGGTAGCTTTCTTGCTGTAATCATGCGGCTCTTTGGGATTTGCAATGGGCCTCAGCAAGGCTTCGTCCCTCAAACGCGCACTAGACTTACTTCGAACACGGACTCTGCAACTGCTCTCTGTGACCGTCTGAAGGAGACACGTTGAGAACTCCCAAAGAGTCATGGTTGGACCTGGAAGGGGAACAGCAAGTCAGGGAAACCCTCCATGCGGCTTGTGCTTTCAACTCTACCAGCTAACATGGCAGATTATAGTAGATTATAATATATAGTCTAGTATGTTATAGTAAACTATAACTGAAGTGATGACTTGGTCGGTAGGCAAGGCCACATTTCGCTTAAAGACGTGCAATCCAAGGGAGTCTGCCCAAAATTTGGTTTTTGAACTATACATCAACCCAGGCCGCAGGCAAACACTGACCCTCAACCTCAAAGGAACTTTACTGGGAACCCCAAACAGGGAACCCCAAGAATATGGTAGGAATATAGTAGGAATATACCTACCAGGATCCTTACATATTCTTGTATATTCCTGCTATTTTCTTGGGGTTCCCTGTTTAGGGTTCCCATTAGAACCCTTTTAACCCTTGACCAAACCAAAGAGAACAGCCTCGAAAGGAAACTGGAAACCTCAAAAAAACATTGGTCAAGCTCCCAGTCTAAAAGTGAAGATGCCCTTGAACTCGGCGGGTCTTCTTCATGGGCACCCAAAGACATCTAAAAAATCCGGAAAGGCACCCATACTTGCTGACCCAGACTTGCAATCAGCAATGCTTAGTGATCCCAACAATAATCCGACTGTGGCAAGAGCAAAGGGATCAGTTCCTCACAACAAGCCCCACTCCCCGAACCCTGACCCCTCGAACCTAGATTTCGAACCTCATGCGACCTCCATGTATACCTATATATATATATGTATCTATGTATATATACATATATATATGCACATCTCCATACGCATATATGTCACGATATACATCCTCCAAACCCTCCACATTTTCCCTAGAACCTTGATTCCTTGAGTCTAGACACCTAAATCCCAGACCCTATATACTCCCATGTACCCCCCCCACATAATCCCTAAAAATAGGTTTAAGGTTTGGGTCACCAAAGGTTCATCCCCGCATTCTGCGGCCGTGCAGCTGCGCTGCTTCCGGCGGTCCAGGGCTCTCCTCCGAAGAGCACGAAGCTTTGAAGGGGGGTTAATGGGGGTTAGGGCTTAGAGTTTAGGCCTTGCAGTAGGGTGTTGGGATATAGGGATATGAAGGCTTAGGGCTTATGGCGTAAATGATGGAGAGCCAACTGGAAAAGGAAATGGACAAAAAAAATCGAAACTGCGAGCTTGCAGCCACCTAGGCTTGGGGTCAACTGGCTGGTTTTCAGTAGGGAGTGAAGGGATAAATTGAACATGAGCTGGACTAAAGTTATAGTATTTTTTTCAAGGCCCTAAACCCCCTCTACATCCCCTTATAGGTCCCACACAACCCAACTTTAGCCGGTAGCTCACATGGAATCCACTACCAGGTGTAGGGTTTGCTTCAGGCTGAAGGGCTTAGGGCTTGAGTTTGGGATATACACATCCACAATATTCAAGAATATTCCAAACACTCCCTCAAGGCAAACAAAGCTCTTTGACTTGCCCAATCCACACAACAGGGCAAAGCCCATTGCGCGAAACGGCCGACGTGCTAGGATCCATCCTAGCATCAACTGAAGGCGTCCGGAAAAAATCTGGATTCTAAACCCTAAACCCTAAAACCCCACAACATCCCTACATCATCAACCCTGGAACAGCAAAAGCTAGGAAAAGCGGGGGAACTCCTAGCCAACTGGCTCTTCAACCTCACCAGGAGAGTGTGGGATTTAGGGCCAGGGTTTAGGGTTAGGGTTTAGGACCTATATACTTGCGTTTGAGGTGTAGGGTTATCTAGCTACATGCTTGGCCATGAACCCATAACTCTACTGTAGGTTCTAGATAATTGCCAATATGATTTTGAGGCTTATTTGTACCGTATACCACGATTCTGAAAAGAATCCAGTGCCATAATACCGATACCAGTACTCATCCCGCGTTAAAGCTATAAACCCCAATATATACAGCCGGTATCCATTTCATTGTGCTTGTTCTTTACCATGTGATTCTCCAATTTCCCCTAGACATTCCTTTATAACCCTAAACCCTGAAACCCTAAAACTCTAACCCTAAACCCTAAACCCTAAAACCCTAAATCCTAAACCCTAAAACCCCTAAACCCTAAACCCCTAAAGCAAAACCCCACAACTCGCGCAGACGAATGCAGGGCTGTCCGGAGGTTTGTCTCGAGGTCAACGACCATGCCCTGCAAGCGTTGGCTTTGGGGTTAAGGGTTTAGGAATTTGGGGCTTGGGAATTTGAATTTAGGGTTTAGGGTCTGGATATGAAGGGTTCAGCTTGTAGCGGTGATCCGTAAAAGAATATTACATGGGGAGTGTTGGGGGGTCTAGAATGAATTCTAGCAGGATACATGTGAGAGAGACCCACACATCAGGGTGCATGGGGCATATGAAAAGACTGAGGAATGCCTGATGGCCCCTTAACCGTCTTAAACCTAAACCCTATACCCTACACACTATATATACTATCCTAACCCCTATGCCGTACACCAAATACCCTCATGCCCCAGATAAATACAAATTGTATAGGACAAAAGTCAAAACTGAAACTCCGTCAATAATTGCTCAAAACTCCCGATGCGAACCCTATACAATTTGCATCGAGCTCACATAAATACAACTTGTATAGGGCAAAAGTTAAAAAGGCAACTCCGTCAAACGTCGCTCAAACTCCAGGCGTGCACCCTACACAATTCGTGTAAACCTGATACCCTAAACCCTATACCCCACCCAGACCCTCCAATGAAGTACCTTTTTGGTAACCCTCATAAGAGTCCTGACGGAAAAACCATACCAGACCCAAAAAAAAGAACTACATGGCAGGGTCCAGGTAAAGCCTGACTACTACAGGAGCCTAAATAATTACCAATATCATTTTGAGGTCAATTTAAGGTACCATAGACCATAATTTTGTAAGGAGTGCGGAACCAGAATATTGGTAATTATTTAGGCCCCTATATAAGCCCTAACAACCGTGCCTTGAGGGCGTGGATGTGCTTGTCCTCGGCGATCTCGCGCTCCAGAACGGCTATTCGCTCATCCTTGGCCTGGCGGTCGAGGCGAAATTCTTACTGCAGACCCCTAAGAAACCTCCTCCCCTTAATGGGGATTATAACAGGGATCCTACTATTAAGGCCCTTGAAAGGAAAGGGGTTATTCTACATTGGACAGGTTCTACTTACCTAATCTAGCAAACATGGAGAATTTGATTTAGAACGCCTGTTTTCCACCTCGCGTGAGTCTGGAACTCTTTCCGTTTGAGGTTCAGGTTTTACTTGCTGGGGATTAGTAGGGAATAGGTGAATATATTATGCAGGGTAATATAGAATAATATTCCCTTATTCCCTACTAAGCACCAGTAAGCTTAGGGTTGAGGGTTGCGTGAGACCAGGCTTATGGCCGTATGGAGGGTTTAGGGTTTAGTTTAGCGTGTCTTGCGTCTGTTTAGGCCCTCTCTAGGGTTATATAGGGATCATGGCAAAGAAAATGGAAACCGATATATTAGATGGGGTTATATAGGGATAATGGAAAAGAAAATGGAAACTACTATGCTTGAATCCCTACCCACATTCTTGATGACTACTGCAGGGTATACGAAGACCGAAGTGCCCAAGCAAGCGAGAGAGCTAGCAAACCACGAAAGGGAGGATGGTACTACATGGAATTCCGCCAGAGCCCAGTACCAAGCATAACTTGGCTTTAAAAATCTACGCGTTGCATGTCGTATGTAAGTGGTTGTCAAAATTATGGTCCCTTTTTGGGGTCAGTAGTATAATACGGCACCTAATATTCAGGGTACCCAGAATGGGGCCATAATTTTGACGATCACCCATGTGCCTTCAAGGCCCCTTCGTGCTTGGAAAGCGCCAGGCCCGTCTGTGACGCAGGATATCCAAATGAGCATCCGCTGTGGAAACCGGGATATCCACAGATTTCCCGGTGATCATAAGGGTAGCTTCAAAAATGAGGGTCCCATTTTGGAACATCTGATTATTTCGTGCCGTAATTAAAAAAAAAAAACCTGTAACCGAAAGGGGCCCATAATTTTGAGAACAACCCATAAGTGTTCCTATTCGAGATTTTAGGACTTCAACGGCGTTCAACAAGCCGTCACAGGGGCCTCGCTACTGCCTGCCTGACTTTGGCCCTGAAAAGCCCCCACATTCCCCCAAAAAATCGCTGGGTTGCTGTTGAACTGAAATCAATTTACCATAATAGGTATGAATAGTAAATCATTGGGTTTCCCCAAAATAGTAACTTAAATGAAGTTCCTTAACAGCAGCCCAGAAAATCTAGGGCTCCGGCTTACCCTAAGCTGCTTTGGATTGTGAGTTTAAAGCCTCAAGGGCCCCTAAACCCGAAAAAACTGCTTGGGGCCTTGGGTTCAGGGTGTAGGGCTTTGGGCTTGTGCTCCAAGAATCCTGGGCCCGGTCAACGGTCCCTCATGTGATGAAGTCCTGTTCTTGAACTTCGGACCCGCCGACTACCCCACAGGACAAATAATAGGATCCACGCTATAGGGACACACTCCTGAGTCCTCCAGGGTTTAGGGTTTAGGGTTCAGGTTTTAGGGTAAACCATCAACCCTAAACCCTCAACCCTAAACCCTAAGACCTAAACCCCAGACCCTAAACCAAAAGCCCGAAACTCGAACATCGCCCCCGGCACCTCATTTTCCAGATGCCGCAGCCTCAGTAGCATGTCCAGCTCCTGGCAGGTTGAGGTTCTTGGGTCTTGGGGTTTATACGGCTTGGGGCTTTAGGGTTTAAGGTTTTTGGATTTTGGGGTTTAGGGTTTTTGAGCTTTAGGGGGTTCAGGATTTTAGGCGTTTAGTGTTTTAGGGTTTAGAGTTTATGGATAGTGGGTTTCGAGTTCTCTTGTTCAAGGCTAAGGGCTAAGGGGTTGGTGTTTGGGCTTTGGGGGTTCAGGGTTTAGGGTATTGTTTTAGGCCAAGGGTTGGGGGTTTGGGGTTTTTGGCTTAGGGTTTGGTGGAATTGGGGTGTAAGGAAGGAGGTATCAACATCAATCACGTGGGCGCGCTTGGGGCTTGGCAACTTTAGGCTGCCTCGCTGGCTTTCAGGATTGGGGGCTTTCGGTTGAGCCTCCGGATTTGCGGTCTAAGATTTGGGCATTGAGAGCGCAGGATCTAGAATGATTTAAACTTTAGACTATGGGGTCTCGGATTTACAGGATCTGGGGCGTTGGTTTCAGGCGGCTTACGGCTATCCGGCGACAAGTCACACACAGTCGCTATACAGCCTGAACCTAAACGGCGTAGACGTCAGTGCTGAGGATCTAAAGCCATAGATCTGGCTATTGCTTCAATAGCAGTGGCCCAGTGGCCCCCTAAATCGCAACCCCACGAATGTGATCCCTCACTTTCCTGGAGAGTTCAGGCCTAAACTCTAAATCCCAAACACTCCCCACAAGGGCCTCACGAACGAGAACTACTGCAGATTCCGCATTGAGAACTGGCATTCAGGGTTGGCTGGGACAGGCATTCCGCAGATCCATAAATGCTGCTGAACCCTGCTGAACCCCGTACCCAAAACCCCAGGGTGTCGACCATAATTTTGATGATGATCCGACAAGTTAAAACACAAATTGGATTCCCAGACAGGAGGCCATGGTACTGAAAGTCTTCATCCATCGCAAGATACGGCTCACTGTTGATGGACGAAATCTTGCACCACTTAGTGCGCTAAGACATGGCAATTCCAACTGTAGGAAATGTAGCGCAGGACCTACACCATTGCGAAGCCAGTGATATGTTATTTTTGTCCTAGGCATAACCTTCTACCGACTCAGGAAGACGGTTGCTACGGTGAACATCTGGAGCCCTAAGCCCTAAACTACAGATCCATCCGGAAATATCCATACTCCTTTCTGAGGCTACAGAACAACAGAAAGAACAACAGGTGCCTGCTTGCGCTGCGAGCGTAGCTGGTCGGCTAAGTAAGCAAACCTGGACAACTTCTTGGATTTAGGTTTTAGGGTTTAGAGGGGTCAACCTTACTGGCCACTAGTAGGGAATCAAGCAATGGCAGCTAAGCACTGGAGTATTCTGGGTTTTTCAGGGCCAGTATAGGGATCCCCATTGCTCTATTCCCTACTAACAGCCAAGAAAGAAACTGGGGATGAGCCCCCTACACTTACGGTCCCTACTAAGCCCTTTATGAAGCCCGAAAGTAGACTACCCACATCTGCGTCTTTAGAGGACTGCTTGCTGAACCTGATATGACACCTGTTCCTAAACCCTTTATAAACCCTAAACCCTCGGCGCAGGAATCGGATCTTTATGGCACAGCTGCATTGCTGGGTGTAGACCGTTACCTAACTGCTCCAGGGGAGGCCACCAGCCCTAGCAACTACGCGGTTTAGGGTTCAGGGTGTACTCTAATTCGGGTTTGGGCTATCCCTCAAGTGGCATTAACGATCATGAAAGAAAAATGACCCAAAAGGGAACCACGATGTTGAGAAACCCCTTTCAACCCAAAACCTTTCATCATCCCCAGCTTCCGTCTGTAAACACGTAGACCTACATATTCCTAATGTCCCCCCAAACACACAACCCTACCTAGGGAGGACTTAGAGAGTAGAACCTTCAATTTCATGCTTTACCACACGAGTAGTGTTTTTTTGGTGGTTAAACCTAGTAAGATAATATTCCTTATGTAAAATACTATACCCCAAAAAGGAGGATATAGTCTTACTCTATATTGGGTACCATCATATCCCCCAATAAACTACTACTCACATTGAGTCATTGATGAAACCTCGGAGGGCATCCACTTACTACATCCTGAGAAAGGCGGCCCTACACTTTCAATCCTAGACCCTCAACCCTGGGTTTAGGTCACCCTGTAATAGTGGTAAAATAGGAATATATGAAGACCCTGGTATAAATACCACGATCCCTGATTGTCACTAGTACCGGGTGTGGGGTCCACCCAAGGTTTAGGGTTTAGGGCTAAATCAAAGGCAGCAGCCGCTGAAGCTCAACCTCGCATCCTAAACCCGAAGCCCTGAACCCTAAAACCTCCGCCATATGGCTTGTGCGCTTCAGTGGATGGGTTGCGGATTTATGTTCTAGAGACCTCCAAAATTTTCTCGAGATTATGGGTTGTTTGGCCCTCAACGGCCAAAAAAAAGAAACCTGAGGTTGCACGCCTGAACAAATCAAAAAGGATCCAAACCACGAATATTTCACGCTGACCTAGTTTGCAACATGTTGGTATCGACCTTCGCACTCAAAGACTTACCCCTAAACCCTAAACCCTAATCCCTAAACCCTAAACCCTAAACCCTGAACCCTATATCCTGAACCCTCAACCCTAAACCCTATCATGATAAGAATTTGACTTCGCGTCCCCCAGTTGGACACCAAACAAAGACACTCACCAATATTCCTCAGGAACCCTATATACACTAAAACCCCAAACCCCAGAAACGTTAAAGCCCAGCTCTGCAAACACTAAAAGACTCAGCTTAGTCCTTCAGACCCTGAATCCTAAACCCTAAAACTCCTAACCCTTGAAACGTAAACCCTCAAACTCTAAACTCTAAACCGCTACCTCCTATAGAAACCCATCAAGGACCGGGCTGTCGCGCACTTTGTGCTACAAGTTCTCTTCCTTGGATTAGTGATTTTTGGATGTATATTAATGAGAAGTTTATTGTTGAGGAACATCTAGGACTTGCAATTGGATACTCAAGGTTCAGGAATGCCCAAGCCTAGGCCCATTTCTTTATGGAAAACTCCATGAGGGCGTCAAAAGAAATGTGCGATGGTAGCTGCCATTTTCTTTTCCATTATCCCTATCTAGCCCCAATATACTATGGCAGCTTCCGTGTTCTTTTCCATTATCCCTATAAACCCTGAGCCACGTAAGGAAGGTTTGGGGCTTACAGCGGAGGACCTCGGGGAAGTTCAAGAAGTGGTTGACTTGGGTGTGCTTGGCATGTTCTTCAAGCCGCGGGCATTGTCCTTCCGAGTTTGTGCTTGTCTTGTAGCAATACGCAGACATGACAAACGGCTCTGCGGTGTGCACCGCCAAAACTAGGGCAAAGACTGAAATCTGGAAATTCAACGAACCCAAGCTCCAACAATCTAAATTTGCTGAGAACGGCAACAAATCCTTCAGGTGTGGGATACCGACGATTAGCAGTTTAGCACCGCGTTAACCTTCAGCCCCTCAACCTTGCAAAACCACACCTTACACTACATCGTACCCCGAACAATAATAGTAAGAGTAACTGTTGTAATTATAGCAGTAATACTGACTACTGAGAGTACAAAAACTAATGACAATAAAGAATACGCAATGGTTATAAGAAGGGTATAATGTAGCCCATGATTAATAAACCCCCTCCTTTTAAGGGTCTTAATATTAGGATCCCTATTATAATCCCTATTGTAGGCGCTGTTTGAAGCAAGCTTCGAACAATGTCGCCCTGCATCTGCTCCTTCACCACATCCATCCTCGTGACAACACCGGGGAAACGGGCACCCCATAAGCCCTAAACCCTAAACCCTAAACCCCAAACCCTAAGCCCTAAACCCTAAACCCTAAACTGGCACCCCATAAGCCCCCAGAGAATTATCCATCGCCTTGACGCCTTTTGGCTACCCCAACGCCTAAACCCATACCGCAAACCCCCTCAGTACCTAATTCCTACACCCTAAACCCCTCTTCTACGAGGGCCACCAGGGTTAAGGGTTAGGGGTTCAGGGGTTTTGCGTTTGTGTTGCCCTGCAATATGAAGCCAAACCAACCCACAACCGAGCCAAACCTTTGAACAACAAGAAAACCGCCCTTACACCCCAACCCCAAAAGTCTAGACCACTAAACCTCAAACCCTTTGAACCGCTAAAGCCCCACCCTAAACCCTAAACCCACCCCCGCAAAACCACTCAGAACTTCTTAGCTTTGAGTCTTGCGGGTGCTTTAGGGAGAGCGGATGGGGGCGGATGCCCGTAATACCCCCTATACAATCTCCATATCATCCCATGTACCCCAACATACCTACAACATATCCCCAAATACCCCCCAAATATCCCCAACATAACCCCAACATAACCCCAATATACTCCCAACATACTCCGTATACACCCCTCCTTTGCCCCCTTATCTACTCCGATATACCTTTAAGCACCCGTAAAAGGTCTGCAGTGAGCCTGAGCTGATCCATGAAGTCCATTAGCGGAACCATCTGGCCTAAAGGTTCGACAGGCGGTTTAGGGTGTAGGGTTTAGGGCCTAAGGGAACTTAAAGAATTGGGACGATGGAAAAGAAAATGGAATGGAAAAGAAAAGGGAAACTAACATTTAGGGCTTAGGGTTTATGGATTGGAGTTTAGGGTTGGGTCTTCTGCGTTGCTGTTAAGGAACTTGGATTAAGTTACCATAATATGGGTGTATAGAGTTAGGGTTTAGGGATTAAGTTATCACCATATGGGTATATCGTAAATCGCAAGGTTTCCGTATAATGGCAACTTTATTTACATGACAGCAGCCCAGTAGGGTTCCAAAGGACGTTTGGTTAGGAGTTCAGGAGCTTGGGTGTGAGATTTAGGGTTGCGGGTCTCGGGCTTCAGGTCTAAGGCTTCAGGTGCAGGACAGGATTTAGGCTTTAGGGTTTAGGGTTTAGGGTTAGAGTCTTGAAGACCTGCCTTTAGTATGTACATACGGAACTTTGGGCTTCAGCTTTCGTGCTTCGCCTCAGGACTCGTTGCAGGGTGAGGGCGATGTAGACCTTCACAATAGTACGGTCGGGGTATTAGTTCGCACTTGAGAAGGACATGAAGTTGAGCTCCACAGTAGTTCAAGAACGGGTTCACACGGGGCCGAGAATTTTCGAAGTCTGTGCACGGCATCCTCCCCTCAGAGCATGACAAGATCTCCATGGCAGCAAAGCTAGACTGTGACTGAAACTGACACAGAAATCTCAATAACTCGCATGCTTCTCGGTCTTTGCCATGACGACACAAAACTGGATGGTTCAGAAACTTCCCATGCTAAAGGAACTGACTGAGACTCGAGCGAGAGGTCCATGTGAACTGCTGGTTGACCGCTGCCACAGTGGCCTGCGCAAGTTTGAGGTACTCGACCATAAACAGGGGACGGCCTTCTGTCACTATAATAGTTTCCATTCTCTTTTCCATTACCCCAATATAACCCCAATATAACCCCAATGATCCCTATATGAACGCTTATAATGCTTATCATAGGAATTCCTGAACTCCCATGTAGCAGAGGCAAAGCGCTACGAAGGCTGAAAGCCGAGCCCCCAGGCTCAAAGAACACGGTTTAGGGTTTTGGGTTTGACTTAAAGGTTTTTTCTTCTCGGACTTAAAGGTTTAGGGTCGAGGGTTTGGGGTCAAGGGTTTGAGGTTCAAGGTTTAGGGTTTATCTGCTTTGGGCTTCTACCCTTGTACGGGTGTTTCCGAATGTAGCTGGTTTTTAGGAGGTCCTGTTGGTGATGATTTTAGAGCTTTCCGGTAAACTCGGCAATGCCATATGGCTGAGGCTGTCGTGAAGAGGCCCTGGAAGCGCGAAAGGGCCTCTTGCAGTAGTCCGGTTGCCGTGTAAAGCGTGATTCAGGCACTGACTCTTGACAGAACATCTAGACTAGAATAGAAAACAGCTATACGTACAGCTAAGCAGCACGCAGGGTCCTTAATCTATCGCCTTCAAAAAGCCACTCCCCCCAATTTCTAAAGCCCCATCTGTGGAGTTGGTGCATAGATGGCTGCTGGCTCACAATTTGGCACAACTATCCAAATGCTTACAGGATCCCAAAAAATGGGCCCCCGCAATATGACCCCGCTGTTACACAGGAGAAAATGAGGCGTGGAATCCACGAAGCTACACAGCTAGATCTCTCGTCTACTCATACCTGGATCTTTCGACCACTTTAGAAGCCTCAACGATTGCCCACACAATTCCCTGATAACCCTTGGATAGCTATAGCATAACATACCCCACAACCCGATTCTGAGTTCTTCAGGACCCTACCTCATTCGAACTGCGTGGCCTTCTCGGCCCCAAGTCCAAGGAGAGGCATTAAGATCAGGAAATAACGAATACGCCTAAACCCTGAACCGTGAACCCCTAATTAAACACTACACCCCCAAACCCTACACCCTAAGGGTTGCTACGAGGCCAAGATGAAACCTGCAGAAATCCAACAGCCCCCTGTGAAGAACAGTATTCTGACATGCCCCATGACAACCTCACCAAAAACAGAAGCAAGAAACCCGCAGACTTGATATTGCTTAGGTGTATGGTTTGGGGAGACTAGAGGCCCAAGCTCTTTCATCGAAACCACTGTCTTGAAGCTGCTTAAAACCAGCAAATCCATTTTGGCCACAGAATTAACTCTAACAATCCAGAAAATCTTCCGAAGCACTCTGAACCAATGTCTTTTGTTTAATCCTACCATTGAACCTTTTTATGGTGGGGTGTCCTATGACCAAATGCCCAGGTGTTGTAGGTATATAGGGCAACTATATCTTCTTGAGCTACATCTTCTTGCAACATAGCAGCCTCGTTCCACCAACAGGCATGAGGAAGCCAGACCCCAAACCCCTTAGGCGTGTAGGCAGAAGCATTACCGCCAAACTTCAAATCTATCCGCCGGTACATAGAACCTCCGAGAGGTTCTATCCCGACCAAACACTCACACCAAACTTCCAAACCCTATCCTCTATGCCCTGAGCTCTGCGTCCTTCTCGCGGGCCAAGTCCTTCTCCAGGCGCAAAGCGCCTCTCGTGGTCTGCCAGATCTCCCAGGTCCAGAGTAAGTACTCCAGGCGCCTAAGCTTGCCGGTTGAGGGTTCAGGGTCTGTTGTCTGGGGTTTAGGGCTTGGAGTTTGTGTTGCTTTCGGGAACAAGGGGTCCCTTTAGAGGATGCCAACAGAAGTCCTTCTCACATTCCTGGTTTCATGTTGGAGCCCGCAAGTTTCGCAAAACAGCCGAAATTGGGGCTGCGGTGCCGAAAGGTTTTTGCAATTTCGGGCTTGGCAAGGCACAGTGTTACTGGATAAGGATATGCTCGCAGCAGCTCATTGCTAATGGAGCATGCTAAAGATTTGTGGTTTGTGGTCCGATGATTGGCATAGGAACTTAATTAGGCTAATGTAGTATGAGTATATGGTAAGTAATAGGGCCAGTAAGGTCTCCTTATGATAGCAGTTTATTTACAGTTCCTTAACAGCAACCCAGCCTAAGCTATTCGCCTGACAGACCGGTACACGCGAAGGCCTTGAGCCATTCACCCCTATTCAAGCCCTCAATCTCTCGGATAAACACTCCTTCTTGTATTGCAGACCCTGTGGACACTCTTGAACCACAAGGGATAAACTTGAAACCGTAGATTTCTGCTCATTCTTTTGTTTTGGCTCTCTTTTTGTCCAACATCTTTGTAAAAACCCTTGGGAACCACCCTAAACCCCGAGCCCAGATGCCCTGTCATAGGCCCTCACCCTCAACCTTACAGCAGACCCTCCCTGAAGCCAGCCGTCAAAGCAGCTCCTTTTTCAAGATCTAATCAGGACCACAAAGAAAGATTCAGCTACTCCCCAAAATTCGAAACAAGTAGAACCAGGGAGCTCGTAGGGGCGCTGTTTGTACAGCAGCCTCTGCATAATGCGGGCGCAGGCAGCGGTCCATTACACCCAACCGTTAAGGTAAGGATTTGGATCTCTCCATGAATGGGGGGCCCCAATACAATACACTATGTTCTGATCCTCACTAGAGGCTCTGTCACTCACGGGCCTTCATTTCCGGAAACCCCTACTTGTTGAAACACAAGGAAGCTGTTATGTGTGATTCTCCGGAGTGCTGAGGTAGTTGGTGTGATCCTTGTGTGGTCCAGGGTTTAGAGTGTAGGAAGTCCTGAATTAAGATGACCTTCGTATAGCCCTTATGCATCTGGAGTAGAAGATCCCCCAAAAACCATGTTGAAACATTAGGCGTCCCTTATCGAGAGCTGCAAGCATCTTCATTGGCCTCTTTGCTAGAGCACGCCGGTCCAGCTTTAGCCGGTTTGTCTCCTGCACTGCGGGCTTTGGCTTCATGCTTCAGGTCGCATCGTGTCGCATGAAATTCCGTTGGAGTTATTAAGAAAAAAAGGTTGAGAACCATAGTGCTTGGGTTCGGGGCTGAGGGCATAGTCCGAGCTTTGTGCTGCGTGTTTTGAGGCTGCGGCCGTGGCCGTGGCGGGTCGCGATGGCGGTGGCAGTCGGTCACCGTTTGCTCGTCATCACGGCTGCTCGCTCCGTGAATTTTGTCCCAAGCATCTCATTAAGAAATCCCACAGGCCTAATTCCCAAGCCTAGGCCTATGTTCGGGAATGAGGATGCGTCTTCCATATGCGGAGTCCTCGAAGGGGGTCCCCTTAACATTTGCATCTTCCACATTCTTCAGGGTGCCAGGGATTAAAGCGCCTGGAGTCTTGGTCGCGGAGTGAAGGGGCCGGGATGAAGCACCAGGGGTTGGACGTAAGGCCTTTCGGTGAATAGGAGTTCAGAACTTGGCGTTCTGGGCTTCCGGTTTGAATATCAAACTTGTCTAGGCCCAAAAAGCGCCAAGTGCCGAGCACGCATGCAGCAGACCTGAATTCCATTAAACCCCCAAGGCCTATGCCGGTGGAGCGCCCCAAATGCATAGCTCACTTTTCTAAACTTGGACCTCAGTTCGGCTGAGGGCTGTCCAGCTGAAAAGTGGTCTACAAAGATTTAGAAGGGACTTGGCGCATCTATTTGAAGCGAAATAGACAAAAGCTACCTTAGGAGCAGAATTGATTACGCGACCGGGAGGGACCTCCAACGTGATACATCCACGTGGCGACAACCGCCTCTGCTGCAACTCCTCGATTCCACATATCCGTGTCACTGTCTGTAGGTCTTGATCCTGCATGGGCCCTGAGAGGCCCGTAAACGCTAAATACCTGAACCCTGCACCCTAAACGCCTACATCTCTAAACCTTAAACCCTAAATCCCTAAATCCCTAACCCTAAATCCACAATCCCCAATACTACTATTCTTATTACTATTCTAACATAACTGTTATTATTGCCATTATGGTTCTTCAAATAACTATTAGTACCATTTACTATCATATCTAAACTACGTCCTTGTAAAGCAGATAGAGTATGCGGTAGATATGGGGAATTAGGCTGCTGTCTCAGATGTCGAATAGACGCATGACATAGACACCTTGGATGAGCAAAGCTTGCATAGAGCTGCCTTTAAATATTGAATGGCAAATTTGAGATTCGAAGCTCCGTTTTGTAAAAGTTCCGAACCACGCTGTCTACTTCCAGGTGAGCTCTCCTTTACCCTCAGGCCTCCCAACTCATGCAACCAACCTTCTACAAAAGCCACAAACTGCTTCAGAGTTGACTGCATCTCTGACGTATTTCTTCACAGCAACCCAGTCTATTTCCCCGTGACCCAGGCGTCCTCCGCTAGTCGCCGGGATGAAGCATTGCAGAGTTGGTTCCTTTTTCTTCCAACAACCAAATGGATCCAAGCTCTATGCAGGGGCGTCTCCTTTAAAGGGGATAGGTATATACAAGTATGAGAAGGATATACAGGGATTTTTTTAGAATGGTGGAGAATCATTAACAGGAAATGTACTGTAAAAAGCCTAGCTGGGCCAAGCTGCCTGCCCCTCAAAACAGGCTGGAAAAACATACGTAGACCTAAACCCTGTACTGTAAACCCGAACCCTAACCCTAAAACCCAACAAGACGAAAGCACGACCTGCCCACCAAGAACCGGAACCAATATGAATGTGTACCACTTGACGATTGCTACTGCTGCTTTGTTGCGGAGGCTCGGAATGGATCCCTAAAGTAGCTCCGAGACATGGTGTTTAAAGGATTTAAGGTTTTGGGTTTAGGGTTTTGAGGAATGGCAAAGACAGTGGAAACTACCATAAAGGAAAATCAAGTGGAAAAGAACATGGAAATGCTATTAAAACTGGGATTATATAGGGGATTATCGGGATTAGGATTTCCAAAAAAAAATGTCAGTGGTACCAATTTGCGGTTCCCTACAATAAGGACTATGCTATTTGGGGGTCTACATTGGGGTCCCCCTGTTTACGGAAACTATTACATAACCCCCTGTCCAATTCCTATAGCCCTTCCCTGACGTCCAGCTAAACCTAAACCCTACAACCTAAACCCTAAGCATATGTCAGATTGACACTGCAGGCCGCGGGGCTCAGAAAGGAGGAAGCGAACCTCATTCCGGAGTGCAAACTCCACGGAATCGCGCATCTCTTCTAGCTCCTGGGATGATGCTTCGGGTTTAGGGTTTAGGGTTTGTGGTTCTAGGGTTAGGGTTTAGGGTTTTAGGGTTTAGGGCTTAAGGTTCAGGGTTTAGGGGTTTAGGGGTTTAGGGTTGCAGGGCTTAGGGTTTACGGGTTTGAGGGTGTAGGGTTGTTCTGGCTTAAGTAGTTCAAGCAGTTAGGTAGTTCGCGGCTTGGGCTGCATTAGCCGAAATCAAAGAGCCAGCCCAAACAGCGAGTTCCCTGCCCAAGTTCGTGAGCTTGAACAAAAGCCCAGATGGGTGACAGAAGGCCTTCTGAAAAGCACGAACCCCCTCAACCCTAAACCCTGAAAAGCACGAAACCCAGAGCACTTTATGGATCTGAGTTGCCTATATGGGTTTCGGGTTTAGAGAATGTGTGGGGGTGCCAATGTTAAGGATTTTCTAGTATTATTGGTCTATATTGAGGTCCCTCTATTTGGGGACACTACCCCATGCGATTTGGAGAAATCCCTAAATAGCCAAATCTAAAACAAAGCCACCCCGCTGCCAAGGCTCTCGTCGGATTCGTTCCTCCTTCTCTTGCTGGAGGACCGTGATGAAGCCGTGGAAGCCATAGAAGAGATTTTCTTTCTTGTTTCGGAGGAAGAGCCTCCACAAGGGGCTTGGTGTACTGTCGGGCCCGGGCTCTACGTGTTGCCAAAGCCAATATAGCCCTATGATCTGACAATTAAAAACCTTGACCATGTCCTTCTAACTGTGGCGTTGATGCTCCAAGTGTATACTTCTACTAGCAGATTGTGTCCCTATTGCAAGAGTATTGGGTTGGTTCCAGTCAACCCCTTCAAGCTTTACATCAACACACCTCGAGCTAGTAGAGGTTGAAGCTGACGCAGACGCCGTAATCCTTGCCTCTAATGAGAGACCGCCCGACCAAACCCGAATACATCCACAAGCTATCCTCCTATAGGGCTTTAGATTGGCCCGGCTGATTGCAGGCCTATCCCTCATGAGGTGGGTGCCCTTGTAGATCATGAGCTTCCGCGCCCGGTTGTGGCGGGCGTAGAGGTCGTTCTGAAGCACGCAGCTTTGGCTCAAGGTGGAGAGTTGGGAATGATGGCAATTCAAGATTCATCCAGGGCTTTCTGTCAAACAAAGTTGCGATTTAGTCAAGGCTTCCGGGTCTGGGTTTCATCTGGGCTTGCATCGCGGATTGCGCTGTAGGGTCTCTCAAGACGAAGCGCCTTCATTAAGGGATCCTATGAATGCAGAGCGCCAAGGCATCCTCAAGGTCTCTTTTCAGAATTGCGTGGATATCAACAGGGCAGAAATAAATGGGCTGCTGGTTGGGGCCCCGGAAGAAACAAGAGCGACCAGCAAAGGACACCCGTGCTGATTGAAGGAGATGCTCCCATGACTTGCCGGACTTAGTAGGGAAGAAGGGGAAGGGAATAGAATCCTCATGTAATCCCGATATAATATGTTCCCTTAATCCCTACTAACCCTACACCCTGAACCCTATATATAATCCCTACATGATATGTATGTGTATATATATATATACACATATTCTCCTATTCCCTACTAAGAACCCGTAAGATGAAGAAAACTGTCAATTGGAAGGCTGAAACTCTAAAAGTGGGAATCGGCTACCTTCAAGCCCGCGAGGTCAAGACTACTAGGGGTTCAGGGCTCGGGTCTAGGGTTTCGAGTCTAGGGTTGAGGGTCTACGGTTTCGGGTGTGGGCTCTTCTTAGGATATGCACGGAACCAGGGGGAAGTTGGATCTTACTCCTTAGCTAATGAGAGAACGCAATCCCCGTGACGTCTTGAAGAGAAATCCCTTTGACCCTTTGGAAGGCGGGGTCTATCTATCAAGCCTACGACTTGTCTGGGAAGGAATACCCTGACTTTGCAGCACACACCTGCATGGAAGTTTTCCAAGCAGTACCCCTATGTGAATCTCTAGTAAAAGAGACCCCAGAATCCCCATATCATGTATCCGCAGAACCCCACGGAGATCCCTGCTTCAAAAATCCCACAACTTGCATTTTAGAGGCAGGGCTTTGGAGCCCTAGCCCTGAACCTTAAAGCCCAAACCCCAAACCCAAAAAACTACAAACTGTCTAGACCCTGAATAATCCCCCCCCCGTTGGCAGCCAAAAGGCATAGGCGGCTGCCAGCTTTCCTTCCCTTTCCAGGACCATCATCAAGGACCTTCAAGGGCCGACTGAGAATGCTTCAGGTCGGGCGGATTAGGGTTGGGGTTTAGGGATTAAGGCCTGAGTTTTTTCAAAAAAAAAGGTTCCCTTGGAAAAACCCTGTTGTGGGAGTCTAGAGAGGGCTCTAAATCTGGGAAAGGTGCTCTTGGGGGGATAGGACTGTAACCCCTGACTATCTCAGTAGGCTACACCTGGCACCGAATCTCAGGCTTATGCTTTAGGGTTTAGGGCTTTGGGTGTAGGGCTTAGTCTTTAGGTCTTGGGGCTCAGGGCGCAGGATTCCGGGTCTCAGGTTTATATGCGCAGGCTCTCAGAAAAAAAGAAGTGACCCTTGGCTTTCACGTGCGGCCAATACAGTGCAGGCAAGTAGCATGCCTATGTGCAATGCAAGCCAACCCAACCCGAGCTCAACTGTACACTGTATCTGTCCACCTTGAGAACCCTAAACCCTAAACCCTAAACCGCTGATGATTCTCATCATTTGTTTCTTTCCTTACGCAGGAAATTAAAAGCCTTGCTTTGGAGAAAAGTTGCTTCATGAAAAACTAAGCCCTACCTGAAGACTCATGGGTCTGTTGACGGGTGGTCATAAGTCTGGAAAGTTGGATTTTGAGTATGCAATGCATACTTATCCTACTTTTCAGTGTAACTGCCCATGAACTTTCGAATCCTCCCCCTTCCGACCCCGGAGATCATATTCCAAACTCTAAATCTTTAAAATCTAGACTTTATAAACCCTATGAACCCTTAAAACCCTATACATCCTAGAATAAACCTATGAGCCCCCACACTCTATACAGCCCAAGCCCTGCCACTGCAGTCCGAGCAGCCTTGTCTGCTCGTCCAGCCTCTGCATGGCTTCTTCGCCCTGGCTCGGGATTTGTAGCAGTGCTCTTTGACTTGGAGGATCAGGGGGAATTTGTGAGAGGTTGATGCTGAGAATAACTGAGGTAATTATGAGGCTTGCAATTGATTACAAGTATGCCTGCTAGGTCCCGTGACCTCCGCCTTTGGTAGGAAGCTCAACGGAGGGCGATCCCTCATAAGGATCCATGTATCCTGATTGGAACTCCTACTTTTTGCAGGCAGATCTGTAGGTGCTCTGTTGAGTCCGTCTTAATTACTAGGGACTCCTGGCTTTATGGCAAAAGAGGGGACCTCGATCCCCTCAGAACGGTCGATGAAACATTTGAAACGGTTCGCTTGTCGAGGGGACTGATCCTAAACACATCTACACCCCTCGAACTATCACTCTACACACCTAGAACTATCACCCCCGAAAGCCCTGAACAGAGACCCCACTTTCAGGCTTTGGGTCCAACCTACAGCGCTGAATGCGCAATCCTTGTGTCGGATGGACGATTCACGAAGCTACTGTGGCAGTAGCCACGGTCGTAGGGCCACTAACGGTAGCACAGAAGCAAGAGCAGAGCATCACTATTACTACTTCCACTACTACTGCTGGCAGGACTACCACCACTACCACAACGACGGCTCCTACTTCTAGTTCTACATTTACTTCTACTTCTTCTACTTCCTCTTCTGTTGTTGCTACTATTGCTACTAGCGTTGTCGATATGACTGTTATAGCAGAAATACAACACGCTCCCATCTCAGTGTCTGCTACCACATTTTGCCCCGCAATGGTTGGGAGAAACTCTTCCAGGGTCCATCCTCAGAATCGCATCATCCGATTTGTTTGGGATTTAGGGTTTGGGCTTCTGGGTTGGCCCCTAAAGCCCTTTGAAAAATATTAGTATATAGGGTCCCTCATTAAAGCCATTAGGGAATATATTAAGTGTTGCAGGGGCCTACCCAGGCTTTTGCTTGAAACACACCACGGCCTGCATTTTGGATCGCTGCCAATGGCCCCATCTGTCCTGCGCCGGGGTATAAAGCAGGTGGATGCACAGTCTGCAAGACAACAGATTCACAGGATGCGCAGGCTTCAGGGTGAGGTGTCAGGTTCCAAGGTATCAAGTCGAATTTGGCGCGGAGATCCCGAAGAGCCAGGTTTGGAATTCTAATCAAGGTTGTCTGTATGGGTATGTAGAAACACGTGATGATCTGCTCTATAGCGCCAGGCCTGTGGCTTAATCACTGCAAGCTGATTTGCTTACCTCAATACTTGGAGCCACCTTTAAGGATTTAGGGTTCAGGGTTAGTCCTAAACCCTAAACCCCCCAAATCCTAAAACCCTACAACCCTAAACCCTGTAGATCTCCAAGACTTGAAGCTCTCCGCGGCCACGTCTGCCCTGTACATGGTAGCTGTTCAACATGCCTCTTCCCAAAATGGCCATACCGTAGGTTGAGTGTTTAGGGTTAGGTTCCCCTTTGGCTAGGACCCGCCTTTACAAGAGGGTGTATTCCTTACAAGAAGCTTTGGAACAACTCTCACATAGGATAGTTGTGTTCACTATGCTGACACCAGCCTGCTCGTCTCTGCCAAGCACTACACTGAAACCTTAGTGTCCTCCAAGCCAAAGACAATATTGGGGCCTTACCCAATGCTGCATAACTCCATGCCTATCCTTCATCATCCTCAGACGCCCTGAATCTGGTCACCAATTCAGCATGTAGGGCGCAATCCTCATACCCTTAGGGAAGTTTTTAAAAAAAAAGCTCCGTTCCATGAGGTCCTCGCTTTCCTCGGTCTTCTGCTTCAGCCTCTTGGTCAAGTCATTCACCTGCAAAGGAGTAGGCAAGGTGTAGCTGCAGTGACTAGTGAGGACCCAAGAGTCTGAGGCTGGTGTGTTTGAGCGTTAGAAAGCAGGGCTTGAGGTTCAGCTTGAGGTCCAGAGTTCTTGGGGTTCTTGTTGTGTGCTTCTTTGGATACATTACTGCTAGCCTCGCTTCCCCGCGTGCGAGCTTGCCTGCTTTTACGACTAACTTTCACAGCCATAACCACTTAATTCAGGTGATATCCATCCATTAGCCAGCCCTGGATGACACAGTCGGTCCTCGTCGGTGAGCTCCTCGATCCGTTCGTGGGCTGCATCCAGCTTTGCCTGCAGCGCAGCCATGATCTTCTCCTGAGCAGAAATCAGCGAAGCCAAAATTTTCTTTCATCGACCGAGCAACCCCTCGCAGGAACACACAAAAAGCCGTGAGACATGGGTTCAACAAGAAGGGGGCTGAGGTTTGGGAATGCGCTTCGCGTTGGACCTGAGATTTGCGGGACGAAGTTGATCTCAAGTGTAGGGCATGCACATATACACCCATAGGTTTATGTATCTGTCTGTCCATCTATCGATCTATCTATACATACGTATACATACTGTTTACCATTCCATATATGTAATGACGTGCGCACGTATTGGGCGTGTGTGTATACACACAGATATATATATATATATATATATACATATAGGTAAAAATGTGGATACCTGTGTATGAAGCCCCTTACAGGGCTATTCATGGTAGACTCTACTCCCGGCATGCATTGTTTCCTACTCAAATTTCACGCCACAAAAAAGCAGGATCGGTGTGGAAATTACAGCATCATACGATCGTAAACGAAAAAGGCTTTCGGCAATTCTGCCGAACCCTTGTTGGAATCACCCCAAGGAAAACTCAGGAGCTGCACTGCAAAGGAGGCACAGGCGAAGCGTCCCCACTTTCCATCAGGAGGTCCTGGCATTGTTGGAAAATGCTTCGGAAGTGTAAACTGTGTCGAAACCGTTGTTGTGATCAGCCTCCTGAGGCGTGAGCAGAAAGTGTTTCCCTTGTAAATTCCCTCCACACATGAGCCTCAGTGAGGCCTTGACTGGATGGCATGATGAGCGCTGTTGAGGGAGGAAAGGCCTTTAGAATGGCAAACACCGGGGTCAGCCAAGAACAACCCGGGAAACCGTCCGAAGGAGCCGTGAACAGAGACTTCAGAAGCAAGGCGCCCCTTCAAACACCTTCTTCCTACTGTAACTGTTTCTGCTGCTTGCTCCTCACCCTCCTCCTATAATGGCTGGTACCACTCAGAGGCTCCTCGTCAATGTCCCCAGCCACGCCCATGATCACAACGCACTCTTTCATGAGCTCGGGCTGCACGGACATGTAGTAGTACCTGGGGTCGGATGTGAGATAACGGCTCATATTCTACCAAACAGGTCGGATGTGAGACAACGGCTCATCTTCTACCAAACATGTTCTGTGCGGGTTCCATGGCATGCCGAAGCATTGCGACAGTTCCTCACGAATCCGCTGGTAATTGTTTATGACTGTTCACTAACTGTCAGGGTGAATTCGTCTGATCAGAGGTCCAAAAAGATCAAGTCGCGCTGCAGAGGATCAAGAAAGGATGTCCGGAAAGTAAGCCACAACACGGTTATGGAATGAGGCTTCAACAAACCTCCTCCTACGGGCTCCCAAGTCCTTCACGATTGCCAGTCGACGGCAATACTCTTCCTTTGTTTATGTGGCCGTGGCTACCAGCAGTTTGCAGGAGTGGTGCTAAGGCCACCGCGTGGTCAAGAACCATTATCGGCTCCATGTTAGGACCCTCCAGGCCAACCTGTCCTCCGTCACATGAGATCAAAATCATGGTCCTTTTCAAGTCTCCTTAGTACTGAAAGCTATACGAATCGTAATAACAATAATTTAAAATAGCGCTAACACAACAATTATAATAATACACCCCTTCAGAGCTTAAAAAACTTCCCTTTCCAAAACCGCAAGCCGCCCTTTGAAAAGCTTCGCAGCCGAGATGCGCAAGATCGGCTGCGTGACCTGCACGGTTCAACTCCTGCACAACCTTAGCGGGGGAGCCTCTCCTCAGGCCCTGGATTTTAGGGTTTGGGGTTTAGGGTTTAGGGTTTAGTGTGTAGAGTTTAGGGTCAGGGTTTCGGGCTAGGGGTCAATAGGCCTTGCTTACTGGTTCTCTGTAGGGAATAAGGGAATAGGATCCCTATCTACCCCCCATGAGATACTTTTAACAAGATCTGCTCCCCATCATGAGGATCTGCATTATCCCGATCGAAGCCATATCTCAGTTCAGGGGGCTCTATGCGGATTATCTAATATGAAGGCCTTATGGGGATTTTACCCTTTCTGGGGTTCTAAGAAAGTCTCGCTTGGTGTTTGCTTCTGCTTCGTTGGTTGCAATTACTTCTCGAACAGGCTGTGTGCTTTCTGCAATCGGGCATCAACATGAAAGCCCAGATTCCTGGATCTACAGATTGTTTTGACAATCTTCCCCGGCGTTGTGTGAACATTTTTGAGAAAGAGCGCGCAGGCGTGGAATTGCGATTCTACAAAATGACAAATCTGACCATGAAGCTCCGAGCTTGAACACCAAAATAAAAAACACTGGCGCCAGGACGCTGAACCCTCAGCAAGCCAAACCCCCAATCCTGAACCCTAGACCCTACCCTAGGGATCCAAATAGCCCAATGTAGTAAATATTTCCAGGCTTGACGGCCTAATGTAAGTATTACTTGATGGATCCCTAGGGCTATTACTGCGCGCGGGGGGGCCGTCAGGAGGTGCGCCTTTAGCTTGTCGATGTTCTTGCGACGTTTCCTCCGCTTGCTCTTTGATTGGGCAGAGCTGAAACAGTTGAAGGCTTAGATAGCAAGAATAGCTTGCTTAGGTAGACCAGGGAAAGGATGGTAGAACTACATGTATGTAGGTATGTATATATATATATGTGATGCAAAGTTTTTTTGCTAGTATGTAAGCGTCCAGCACACGAGGTACAGTGACCAAGCCTAAGAGTACTAGAGGAAAGCTCTGTCTGGGACCCTGCTTTTGCAACCGTTTCACTCTGAAACTTACGCTGGCTGTCACCCTTAGCCCAACAAGGATGGACAAGTTGCTCTCCCAGACAACTGTCCCTCCTGAAACAGCCGATATCAGGCTATCATCCAGACTGGAAAGTTGCCAAAAAGGACCCATACATTTGAGAGGCGCCCTGAACTCCTTGCGTCACAACAGCAAACCCATGCAAACGAAATTGAAGAGCAAACGATTCTTCCTTTTAAGATTACTGAATGTTGTTTCCCCTGCAACCATACTACTCATGCCGGTACCTGACGTGAGGTCAGAACTATGCTTCTGGCCCCGCTACCCGCAAAAGGACACTTCAACTAATCACCTAGGAGTGCTGTATTCATCCAGACACAAAACCACCAAAACATCGCCAATACAAGCCTAAGCCACAACCCTTATGCCAAAACCCTGCCTAACCCCCAATCGCTAAACCTAACTCCCTAAACTCTACATCCTAAACCCTAAACCGAATTTTGAAACCGCCTAAAACCTCAAGAAGACACCGAGGCACGGCTTGAGAGCCAGCATCTCAAGATCAACTTCCTGCTGGGAAGCCCCAGAATTACAGCCTAGTGTGAGGGCCTACTATATAGCATATTGGGGTCATATAAGGATAATGGAAAAGAAAATGGAAACTACTATATAGTATACTGGGTTTCGGGTTTAGGGCTGCAATGGTGCTTTGGAGGCCCGCAAAATCGGGATACGGCTTTGGGTAGCAGCATAGTCTAGCTTGCAGAAGGATGGGCCAAGCTTACCTTGTTACACTTCTACAGTACTTGTATCACAACTGTATAGCACTACTACAGTGAGAAAATCAGGCTTGCTCTGGACCCCCCTGTAGTCCAGCTGGGCGACCAGCTGCACCGGACTTTTCTCAAAAAGCGGTCGCTCAACATCATGATCGAATTTCAACCCCTAAACCCTAAACCGGCCCCTGGTATTTAGGAGAACCACAAGTGGGCCATGATTTTGACCATCTGGTGTGCCTGATGCCACCCGTCGCTTCATACGGACTTAAGGGTTTAGAATACCTTGTTGGGGCTATAGGGGTTATCGGGGTTCTATAGGGGTTCCATAGGGGTATATAGGGTTTAGGATTTAGTGCACGTTTCAACCTTTTCCGCTACCCTTCAAGCAGCTGGGCGGAAGGCGACACAGCTTTCGGATTTAGGGTTTAGGGTTAGGGGTTTAGGGCTTAGGGTTTAAAGTTTCGAGCAATCTGCTCGTTCTGTTTTGGCTCGACACCCGCGAACTCTTGACATCCCAAATGCTCTGGAACCCTGGCAGTCATATGGGTAGTTCCCAAGATTAGGGATAGGTGGGGTTATATAGGGTTATATAGGGGTTATATAGGGATAATGGAAAAGAAAATGGAAGCTACTATTTAGGGTATAGGCTTCGGGTAGTTCCCAAAATTAGGGTCCGACACTTTGCCTTGAAGGCCCTAAACCAGCTCCTGAGTCTCCAACTGTTAGCGCCTAGACCGGAAGCCACAAACCCCAAACAAAGGTTTAGGGTTTAGGTTTTAGGGTTTAGGGTTTAGGTTTTAGGGTTTAGGGTTTAGGGTTTAAAGCTTCCAATGCCAGCTCCAAAAGTCCTCATCCCCTCTCAGACACTGAACCTATTTGGTTACATAGGGACAATAAGAAAGAGAATGGAAACTACTATTCAGGGTTTAGGATCTGCTACTACCGCGACCACTCAACTGGTCCTTTTCAGGCTAGCATTATGAATTAGGACTCCAGTGTTCGTAGTGGGCTTTAGCATAAAAATCTGCAATTCCACAATAACCCAGTCAAGTCAATACCCTCAACGGGGGTGTTAAACTTACCGGTAACTAGGGAGGTCTGATAAGTAAGCCTGTATTTCTGTTCCCCAGACACATTCCAATCCTTGAAGGCCCAAACCCCTAGCCCTAACAATCTTGACTACCTCAACCTCGAAAATCCCCAAGGACCTAAACCCCCAAACAAGTGCAAACTATGTCAAACCCCATAAGCCTTAGCCCCAGCAAGTAAACTTTGCCTTCCCAGGCAGGGGGGGGCACTGTTGTCCTCTTCCTCCTCTTCTTCCTCCTCACCTTCCTTGAAAGGCTTGGCATGACAAATTTCAAGTTAGGGTTTCGGGTCTGGGTCTGGGGTTCGAAATTTCACGGTTTAAGGGGCTTAGGAGTTTGGGCTTGGGGTTAGGGTTTTGAGGCTTTAAGGTCGCCATGCTCTTCTAGGCTTTTGGGGTTTAAGGGTTTGGGGCTTGGAGTTTCAGCTCGAAGGCTCATGGCTTAAGAGGAGGGTGCCCTTAGGCATCTTGAAGACATGCGTGGATTGCAGACGAAGGAAAGGAGGCTCTCTCTCGAAGATCATGTAGGGGTGATTATACAGCAAAGTCGCGAGCCATCTCATTTCTGGTGAACGCAAAGCTATATTAAGCACTTGCCTGCCACGACTTCCCTTAATAGCAAAGGCCCTTGAAGCCACCGCACAACTCGTCATACTCTTCTGTTTTAGGAGCTCGCAGACGATGCAAAATCAATACCAACTTGCCAAGGGTCTTCTGGCTCATCAGCCAAGTACTCATGCCAGTTCCAAGGATCATAATGATGATCCTTCAGAACCTTTGCCAGAGCTGTGCGCACTTTGTGTGGTATCCGGTTTGGGTTGGTAATTTCTCACAGGGAGTTCTTTGTAGCAGCCCGTAATGGGGAAACACTATCACCACTGCTTCGATGATCTTGGCACATGATTTTTGTCTTGGTACGATTGCGAACTCTAACTCGACTTTGGGGCAGTCAAGCAGTAGCCAGCCTGTCAAACTTTACAGGCACAGACGATTAGCATGCTTGTGCAACGCGCCTTGTACCAAGCCATCTCTGATCTGCCTGATGGCCCTGTGAAGTATAGGAAATGGTATCAACTTGTGTAGCAACATAGTCACAGTCGTAGAACACTCAGCAAGCTCCAACGACACCACTCGGGTCGCTCCAACCCTGTAAGGACAAACCTCGAAACACTGCACAAAATAACGAATAGCTGATTGCTGCCCTGAAGCGTTCAAGGCTTGCCTCAGTCGCTCGAAAGCCTCCCGACGGATCATCAGTCTTCTCAAATGGCAGTTGTGTTGGGCTTAGGGGTGTTTGGGGCTCATCACTAAAAACCGTCAAAAATACAAGCATGCCTCATGGGCTACTGGTCCCCACTGTTTGCACATCAGCGTCAACCGAAGTTTAGACACCTCTGGAGGCACCAAAGCCCTAAACCCTAATCGCAAAATCCTAGTTGTCAGATGGCCTCCACAGGGGTCTCCATGGTGTACACCATGGCTCCCAACTTGTAGCAGAAACTTTGGCGACAAGATCCAAGCCCCGAAAAGGAACTTGCCCAAGAACTGAAAAGCATGTTGCTGTGAAGCCCCGTTTCGGACACCCTTCTTTAACGTGCCTACCAAGGGGTCGTTAGTTTTGCAAGCTACTCAAAATTGGAAATTTATCTTTCAGAACTGTCTGGGCCCCCACAGAGGGCGAAAAAGCCATGGTACGCGCTGCGGCTCTGACTGTGAGTCCCAGAAGGTTGTCATATGACATCCTCAGAAACAGTGACCCTTGCAAGCCTGACTTTTCTGTAATCCTGTATCAGCCCAATGAATGCCTAGCCCGGCAACCCCAGAACCTATCTACAGCAAGCCAGCCAAACGCTGCCAGCTTTGAGCCAGAGCCGCCGAAACGAAGCAGCTGAAGGATGTTGGAGCATGGGGTGGATGGTCAACGGGGTGGAAAGCATACTAAGCCCTACCAAGGGCTTTTTCCCCACTCCCGAGCACAGGCAAAGATTGCTGCACAAGCTTGCTAGAGGAGCATGCCAACAAGCTATCATATCTGATTGGGCCGTCGTCACTTTTTCTTCCACCTTCATAATCTGTCGGAATGAGAACGTCATCATGATACAAGGCAGACTTCTTTCAAACTTGTGACGACTACCCCACTGCTTGAATTTGCAATGGAAAATTGTCCGGCTTCTCTCGCTTGGCGTCTTGTAACAAAATTCGTTCTAAAAACTCTAAAAACCTCTTTCGATCCTTAACAACCGAAATCTCCACCATCTTCCGATCTAGGTTTTGACTTGGGTCTTGAGTTTACGCACAACACTGCGGAACAAAAGCACGAAAGCACCGAAGCGATAGAAGCCTGGACGGCAAACAGCACAAGGAACAAACTCTTTGAAATCTCATGAGCGCGCGACATCTAACGAACTATCTACTCGCATCTGACTGCCTAGTTAGGCATGCCTATGGCTCCCCGTCGGGAGGCCAGGGCGTCCAATAGCGAGACATACGACCACGTGAGGTCACGTACCCCAAGCCTGGGTGTAGAGTTGAATGTTGCAATCTTGAGTTTTTAAGGTTTGGGGTTTAAGATTCAGCGTGTAGAGTTTAGGGGTACGCGCTCCAGGGTTGGAGGCCTAGTTGCGTTCAGGGCTCAGAACCCGATCATTTTACCTTTTGTAGGAATTTCCACGTTCCATCAGTGTAAAACCTTTGGGGGGAATCCCCCAATCTGCGTCATACACATCTCCAAACTTCCCCCTTCCCCGTGTCGAGGAAACCCCCGCACATTAGGGAGAAGGGGAGGGGAAGATGAGGGTAGGATCCCACAATGTTACAAGCTTGCTATATAAGGTGTTTTTGACTTGGAATTCGCGGGTTCACATCCAAAAAATGCACTGCACGTGTATGATCTGGGCCTGAAAGTTGGGGTTCACCGATCTGCAATTTGTTGGTTTTCGAAATTTGTAAATCACTGCCGTTATAGTTGGAAAGGATTCAAGTTCTGACTTAAAACTTCTCGGCATCTACACAAACAGCAATACTTTCGAGAAACACGCATCGCATGGGCTGTGGCACCGCGTACTAAGATGTACTAAGCACATGTCTGTAAGGGCTGCAAGCGACATGGCCACCAAATCTACTGGCTGTTATTGTAATGTGGTATGAGTGGGTTGTACAAGCTTTCAGCTTTGGATCCTTGAAGCTTGTAAACACCTGGTGCAGGGAAAAATTGGGCGTGCAAAAAGCTCATCATCGGAGTGATCTTTAGGCTGTGGCTTCACATGCTGTGGGACATTGCTGGATTTGATTCCGCAAATCATGCAAATCGTTCACTGCTGCTGCGTTCAGTATTACGGGCGGTGGTGAACATGGGAAAGGTAGCGTCCCGACTCTGGTGGCAATCTGTCAAGGAGGAAATGCAAAGCCCTCCTAGGATGATCATCCCGACAGCATTTGGATCCTCAACGGGAAATGCAAAGCCGACATGCTGTAGGCCGCAACTGGCGGCGCTCAGATCTCGCAACCATAACAGGCTCAACCCTTCGGTTCGCCGCTGTTGGTCCTCTGGAACGTCAAAACTGTTTGTTCAGCGCGTGGAGGCTCGCTGCCACCGTCCGCAACAGACGGGGGAAGTCAAGCAGCTGGTAATATACACAATGTCACTTTGGAGGGATTCGGGCTTTCTGAGCTTGGAGGGCTTGGATGAGTTCGCATCGGATGGGTCATACTTTTTTGGTGAAAGAATAAAAAAAAGCCCGCAGCGTACACCAAGAATGAAGAATGCCTCATTCTATTGCAGGGTCCGATCATTGGGGAACAGCCGCGTTGAGCATATCCCAGCATAGGAGCGCAATGCAGAATCGAGGCTCCCAAGTCCTCTCGTTTCTGCCACATAGATTTTACTTACTTGGTGTCTGAAGGCGGAAAATCCATCAAGGTCAAAAAAACAAGCCCTGAAAAAGGTACCTCCAAGCACCGCACTGCGTGCAAATGAGACCTCTGATGAACAGAAAACCCATGATTCACCTGTAAGGAGCATGCTGAAAGAAGCACTTGTATTCTGAAGCAAAGAGCGGGGGGGGCAGGTTCTTAGCCAAGAGGATGCCTTCTCGCACAACAAGTTTAAAGCCCCGGGGTGCTTTCCATTCCCCAACTTTAGCTCGTGCCTGGCCATCAGCAAAGAAGCTCAACAAGTGAGTAGTGCTTGTTGGTGATTGACTGAGGGAAGGTTCTATCCTGATTAAATACTATAACCAACCGAGAAATATCATCTTACTCTCGGCCTTGGGACCGTAGCATCTCAATTGAGAGTATTGCCCCCCAAGTGGACACGCATCTTTTTTAGATTGGGGTCCCCTAGTTTACGCCCCAAAACAATGTGACAGTCTGTAAGGGCCTACTTGATTAGAACTACGGCTTTGGGGTATTCTATGCTTTAAATCTACGAGAACAACAGATCACAAGGTTTGGTAATCATGCACACCCGTACAAATGAGCTATAGTCTAAACTCCTAGTATCCCCCTTAATAAGCCCTATAGTAGTCCCCTATATAATCCCCTATATAGCCCCCCTTTAAGGAGTTTAGACTATAGCTCATATGCTCTACTTTCTTTGAAACATGGTGGTGGTCCAGGATGAGGCTCTCAGGCGGTAATCAGAAGGGTCAAGGTTGGCTGAGAACTGCCTTTGCAGGTTTAAGCTTTAGGGTTTAGGGGTTTAGAGTTTAGGGGTTTAGGGTTTGGGGGTTTAGGGTTTAGGGGTTTAGGGTTTAGGGGTTGGGGTTTAGGGTTTCGGGCTTCCCCCAAGAAACCCTGTGATGATGATACTCCCTTGTATAATCCCCTGGATAACCCCCTTACAGCACAAGTTTAGACTATAATTGCAATATGTTGTTGCAAGAGTAATCCTCGCAGTCCTCTGCTTCCCACTCCTTGTACTAATTGGAAAAACAAACATTCATAGTGCTAATGTCACCTACAAATACTTAGGATTGGTTGGATACAGCCCAGTCGGATCACAATTCTGACTAGCTTGCACGAACCAAGGAAAAGAACCATTTTTAACAGATTGTTACGGCTGAGTGGGGGGGTGTAGTAAACCCTAAACACTAAGGCATAAACAACATAGTTGTGTCCATGTTCTTTTCCATTCCCCTATCTATATACCCCAGTATGATGAAGGCTTCATTTTTCCCCCCGAAACAGGTTTGACCTAAGAACCCCATGAACCCCCTAAAACCTGTAACCCCTATGTCCCCCTTAAAGGTACCCCTAATTTTGGGAAACCCCCAAGGTGTTGATGAAGCATGTCATCCCATCTGCATCATTGCAGTCTCTGACAGAGCAGGCTGTGTCTAATGGAAAAGGTTTGCGAGCTTAGGGTTTATGGTTTAGGGCTCAGGGGCTTTGGAGCTATGGGGTTTTGGGGATTAGGGTTTGGTGGTTCACATGCTAGGGTTCTTGGTTTGGAGTTCAGGGACTGGGGGATGATGTCCGGGAACTATTTGGCCCTAAAGCCTAGCCCCAGCAGCCCTTGAAAACCTGAAATTACAAATCTCCACAGCCCGTGTACATAAGACAAAGACCCTAGAACATTAGAAATTTCATCGCGTGAAACTAACCCTAAACCCTACACCCCGAACAGGCCCTAAGCCCTAAACCGTAAAATCTAATCTGACTGGCTGTTAGTGGCTGTTAATAGGGAGTGAGGGAATAGAATAGTGAGGAAAATGCAGATGACTATATTGTTGGAGATCATATGGGAGCTACTATTGGGGTACATTCCTCCATTCCCTGCTAACAACCGGAAAGCCTTAACCCCATATCCTAAAATGTACTAGTTCCCATCTTCTTCTCCACTCCTTCATTCCCGACTGCTAACCAAAATCCTAAAGCCTTAACCCTTAAACCCTAAACCCTGAACCCCAAACCTCTTAAAACCCTAAACCCCAAAATAACATGGAATCATTGCGAAAGAGCTGCTCAAGACCTCCATGGCCCCATAACACCAGAAGATTGGCAAAGCTTGCCACGGCCCAGGGTTCGAATGGCTCAGGGCTTTGGAGATTCGAGTTGCGTTTAGTTTGGGTACTGCCCCCCCCCCAGTAACAGTCCTAATTAGGGGTCCTAGTAAGGGCTATATATAACCATATTATACTTATTATCCAACTGTTTACTGAGGGAGGGGCAGTACCCAACCTTTAGCGTTCAGGGTTTTTGTTTTTAAGGGTTTAGGCTAAGTTTAGGGTGTATGGCTCACAGCTTAGGCTTAG